CGCTGTTTCTGGAGACTTCTAAAAGGAGCCAGGAGCCTCCTGCTCAGCCTCGGTGAGGTCTGTTCTGCCTGAGCTTGGGCTATGGGCCAGATGACCCTGGAAGATTCTTTCCAGGCTCAGAATTCTGTGAAGTCCAGGATGTGGACTTGGGGACTATTTATTTACACAGAATGCGCAGAACTATGTCCCTTCCCCTCCTGCATTCTAAATGCCTCCAGAACCTCTCCCCACAGTCCTCCCAGCCCCGGACTCACTCCTCCACCCCACACCATCACTCCCTCTCCTTCATCTCCCCAGCACCTGCCTCTCTCTCCACCCGCAGGCCTCCGCCCAGGTGGCTGGGTGTGGGCTTGATGCATCATTAGCCCTCAGTGGATCTGAGAGAGCATGGTGTGCATCAGCGTCATGACAACAGCAGCCCAGCTGAGGACAGGGCTCGCGTCCCCACCACCAGTGCTCCCTGGCCTGAGCCTGACTGTGCTTCCCTCCACAGAGCAGCCCATCCAGTATGCTCACTCCACCTGCGAGGCTGGTGTGGCTGAGCTCCACATCCAGGACGCCCTGCCGGAGGACGATGGCACCTACACCTGTGTGGCTGAGAATACCTTGGGACAGGTGTCCTGCAGCGCCCGGGTCACTGTCCATGGTAAGAGCTCCTGAAAACACATCTGCTTTGGCGAAAGGGCACTGCACCTGAAGGCAGGCAGGTAGAGGAGATGGCCTCCTAGAGTTCACAGTGACGAGAGTCTGGCATGGGAGATGGGCATGCAAAAGCCAGTCCCCACGCCCTCACCCCACCCGCCAGGGTTGAGGGTAGATGCAGGGGAAAGAGGCAAAGACTCCCTTGGCTCAAGAGGCTCCCAATCTGTTAGGAAGAAAATCGCACACACTGAAAGATGACCTTGGAGGAGAAACCGCTACCCTTAGGTCTTAGGGCGCTCACCAATGACCCCTCACACATTGGGGGACACTGCATAACAGAGTGCCAATATTGAGGCTTCTAGAGGACCATAGGCTGTCCCCGTTTTCCTTCTGCCCCGGCTCCTCCCCACCACCCCAGGCTTGTTTGTAATACGTCACCAGCCTGATGTCCAGTAATCTGATTATCATGGTCATCCATTGATCCCCACCAAGCACTTAGTCCCAGGAAGTCACGAGGCAGCTATAGGACTCAAGACAGAGCTGTCTGGGCTGTGGTACGTGATAGTGACAGTGCCCCGGGAAGTGCTTCTGGGGTCCAGGAGGTTCAGGTAAGCCGACTCCCCACCCTCACCCCGGGCCTGCGCCCCAGCTCCTGTGTGTGACTGGGGCCTGGGTCTTTGGACGGGGTGCTCTGTGCTCTGCTTTCCCTGTAGACCAGCGGGAGGATCATGTGTCCTTGCTCTATCCCCCAGGGCTCAGGCCTCCTGGGGAAAGTCTCCTGGCAATGTGAGCAACTGCCTTCTGGAAGGCCACACGAAAGGGTTTCACAAAAAAGGGCAAGTGAAAAACTCATGTGCTGGTTACTGCGTTAAATACTTCCACCTCACCCATATTTTCTTATCTGGACCTCAACAACTCTACGTGTGTGTGTGTGTTTGTGGGGGTGTTGTGGGGGTGCTCTTTCTGTTTTACACAGAGGGGCCTGGAGGTCTCAAAAAGTTAGTGTGACTTGCCTAAGTACACCCAGCTAGTTAGTCAAGCTGACCTTTCAAACCCAAGTCCTCGTGACTCCAAGCATGTGCCCATTTCTGTGCCTGGAAAGGATTCCAGAGTGTGTGTCCCCTGGCCCAAAGCGGGAGGGTAGCCCTCGTGGCTGGGCAGCGTTGGGCCCATAGGGATAAAGGAGCTGTCACTGACCCGGGATGTGACCTCTGGCTCCGTGAGGCTCCCTGCCAAGAGGGGGCACGCTCCTTGGCCTCTCCAATTTCTCTGAGGTGCCCCTGCAGGGATTCGTCACCCGTGACCTGACCTCCCTCCTTCTAGGAAGCCCTCCACACTCAGGTCAGAGCCCGACTCTGGCTCCCAGGAATTTGTCAGCCAACAATTTGGTTTACACATCTATCCCCTTTATCCTCACAGATCTCGTTTCATAACTCACTGAGGGGCCTGGGGAAATTGTGGTGATGAGACTTAAAAGGAAACAAGGCCAGATCTGAGCCTCGTCTCCTTGAGCCAAGAGAGCAGGTCTCCTCTTCCCACCAAGGGGCTCTACTTGGAGGCCCACGCGGCCTCCCCCAAAGTCCTAGTGATGGCGGAGAGAGCCAGAATGGCGTGCGACGGGTGTGTCGCCTGGAGCTCTCCCTAGCTAGCCTCAGCCAACAGCCCAGCTAATCCGGTGCCTGTCCCAGGCTGTCTGTGTTAAGATTGGATTAGAGAGACCCAGCTGAGCTAAAAGTCCCACTGGAGGTGTGTGTGTGTGTGTGTGTGTGTGTGTGTGTGTGTGTGTGTGTGTGTGTGTGTGTTTGGGGGCGGGTTCCCAGATGGAGTATCAAGAAGTCTTTGTGGTTAACCTTCTCGCCTCAGGTGTGTGGGAGGAGAGGGGTCTGCCTGATCACCTATCCAAGTGTGTTTTAAAGCAGAAACAGGAGAGGTCCCCGGCAAGAACTCTGCCAGGGCCGTTTGGACTTTCTCTGAGAGCAGCCCCGTGTGAGTGAGAACCCCTTCCCAGGGTGGGGATTTACTGGCCTGTGAAGGCCAAACAGAGGCTCAGATACCATAAATGGTGAAGGAGGCTGAGAGACACAGCCACGTGCTCAGGCCGGCTACGCTGGGGCTCTCTGTACAGGATCGGGGCCGGCTGAGCCTGGCACAGTGACACCCCTGGCTCCATGCCCCAAGGCATTTGGGGAGCTCGAGTCCGCATCCTGCACCATCCCCACTCCACAAACTGGAGTTTTTCTTAGTTTATTGGCAGCTCCTTTGGCTCCAGGTCCTCTGGGGGCCTCTTAGGGGGTGGGAGATGACTGCGACCAAGGCATTTGTTCCCTACTGTGCCTGCCGCTGTTCCAGCCTCTCCCTTAGCTGCCCAGGCCTGGCCTTTCTGTGGCCTCAGTGTGGCTCCGGGCCACAGCTGGAGCACGGATGTGGAGCAGACCATCTGGGTGTGAATCCTGGTTCTCTGCTCACCATCCTTTCCACCTGGGCTGCTGTTCATGTCTCCAGGCCTCACCTTTCTCTTCTGTGAAATGAGAACTCTGATAGTCACACACCCCGCCCCCAGTGCTATGAGGGTTAAATGAATGAATATTCATAACGTCCCCAGAACATAGGAAGTGCTCAGTATGTATGTGCTATTAGGATGATAGTCCAACCGAGTCCCTTTAAACAAGATAAAAGTCTAAAATGCCAAGTCTAAGGAGCTGCCTTACCAAAGGATCAACTTTGTCACAGCGGGTGGGTTGCCTGTCTGTTTGTTTTGGGAAGAGGAATAGAGACTAAGAGGATCAGAGAAGGGAGGTGTAGGGCCAGACACTAAAGCCGTGATCTCCGGCACCCCATTCTAGGGTTCTGACCACAAGAGGGCGCCATTCAGCAAAGCATCCCCCTCCGTTGTTTGGGTTCCAGGGCACAGCGGTTTCTGAGGGCAGCTCTGCTGGAGGCAAGCTCCGTGGGAGAGTTCAGCAGATACTTTGCTGAAGGCCAGACATGGGGACTCTTTGTCACCTCCTTAGCCTTTTACCAAGGTTTTGCAATCATCCAGAAGTTGCTGGCCCAGCACTCTAATGGGATTTCTGCAGCCACTTTCCCCTGCTTTCTCTGCCTCCTCTCCTCTGTACCCCTTCCTTCACCCCCAAATCTGGCTAATTCCCTCTCACAAATGTCACTTCCTCTGGGAGGCCTTTCCTGATCACCCCAGAATGAGTTCCCTTACCAGCTGTACCTCCCCTGTCATTGTGCTTATTTATCAACAAATCTTTATTGAGCATCTACTTTGTGCATTGTTCTGGGGAGGCTGCAATGAACAAAACTGACAAGCTCTGCCTTCATGGCGCTTCCATTCTGATGGGGAGACAGGCAATCATCAGCACCTGGTTTAATCAAACACTAACAAGTNTACTACTTTCTATTCTAATTTGCTCACGTTACATAAGCATCTTTCTTTCTATATTATTTAATAGTATTTGAAAACATAATTTTTAATGCCAAATAATGTTTCATAGAACAATGTACCTAATTTAAGCGTGCTCTTATTGAACATTTAGATGGTTTCCATTTTTTTGTTGTCATAACAAAGCTATGATTAATATCTTTGTACCCAACTATCTCTCTATATAAAATTAACCCCTCTCTTTAAATGCTATTTAGAGACCCTAGACCCACGTCATACTGTTGAAGAACATACTAAACCACAGGGATAGAGTCAGCAAATTTCAGACTGTTGGAAACTCTATGGTACAAATAACCTTTGCCTATTTTTTCAACAAATAAATTGCAAGCAAAAAGAAGAGGGGAGAGACAGATTATAAAAAACTTAGATGAAAAGAAACATAAGAGACATCAATAATTGCAATATATGGACTTTGTGTGGATCCTGATTGAGACACCTTTAAAAAGCTTTTTTTAATGAGAGCATCAGAAAAATTTGAGCTTAACAAGATATTTGATATAAAGGAATTACAGTTGATCCTTGGTATTATAGGGGATTGGTTCCAGGACTCCTTGTGGATACTGAAATCCAGGGATGCTCAAGTTTCTTCTATAATGATGTAGTATTTGCATATAACCTACACACATCCTCCAGTGTACTTTAAATCATCTCTAGATTACTTATAATACATAATACAATGTAAGTGCTAGATAAGTCATTGTTATACTGTATTGTTTAAGGAGTAATGACAAGAAAAAAGGTCTGTACATGTTCAGTACATACTACATAGGACATAGCAGCAGCAAGGAAACATTTTTTTTTTGCAATATTTTCAATCTCCAGTTGGTTGAATCTATACATACGGAACCTGCAGATGCGAGGGCTGACTATCGTGCTATTTTTAAGATGTAATGGTGGTCTTGTGGTTATTTTTTTTAATCTATACATTTTAGAGCTATAAATTGAGGGATTATTTTACTGGTGAAATGATGTGATTTCTGATATTTGCTTCAGGAATAATCCATGTGAAGTGGGAGCTGATGGGGTATAAAGGAAATGAGACTGGTCATGAGTAGATAATTATTGAAGTTCAGAAACAAATATATGATGGTCCACTATACTGCTTTCTCTACTTTTGTGTGTGTTTTAAATTTGCCATAATAAACGTTCTTTTAAAAAAAAGGAAGAAAGGAGAAGAACTTAGTGGTTCATCCATAGAGTAGGCCACCATGCAGCCAGTAAACAAATGTGGCCGACTTGTAGACTCTGACGGTGACACATGTCCAAGACACATTAGTAAGGGAGAAGAGCCAAGTGCAGAGCCATGTGTATCACATGCTATTTGTGTAAAAGGAAAAAAAAATCTATGTATATATATGCAAACAGATGCTTGTGTGTGCATAAAACATTTCTGGTAGGGTCCACAAGTTGCCTCCAGGAAAGGAAACTGGGGGTCCGTAGGAAGGAGTGGGCGGTCATCTTACTTTTCACTGTATACCATTGGTGTACCTCATCATCTGGATTTTTACTTTGTTCATGAATTCCTTTGCAAGGATATTATCTGTTCCATTCAGAGG